GGCCGCGCGTGCGCGGCGCCACAGGGCTGGGGCGTGCGGGTGGGGAGCGGAGGCAGGCACGAGTGTGGAGGCAGCAGGAGCAGCAGGACGTGGCCCTCCTGCCCTTCTGCTTGGTGCCCGGGAGGGACTTCTGGGACTGACCTGCGATTCGCTCAGCCCAGGCAGGGCGTGAGGAGGCGCTGGCCACAGGGCCGCTGCCAGAGTGCCCGGTGCTACGCTCCATGTAGCAGCTGCAGTGCCGCCTGGTCATAGCGAGGTGCCCAGTCCCGGTTTGCTTGAGGTCTGGTCTCTCGATCGTCATTTATGTCCTTAAAGGAACAAAGGGGTCATCTCTTCCGCCCACTTCATGGTCTTTAAGGAATACTTAAGTTAGCACTCTGCGGGCGCCCTCTTGGGATTGCAGCTTGTCAGGGTCTTCCGACGGGAAGAACTGGAAGGATCCCTGTCAGTGCGCGGCCCCGCCAGGCACGTTCCTCGGTGCCACGGCCTGTGCTCGGGAACGGGACTGCCGGGTACTCCCCTCCCTGAGGAGACCCGACGAGGACAGCTGGGACGGGTTGCGTGTCAGCGCCTGGGCACCTGCCGACGGCCCCAGCGCGCCTCTGACTGCAGCCTGGCTACGTTGAGGACAAGGGGACCCTGGTAACCCTGACCCTGGGCCGAGTGGGTTGGGCTTTTAGGGCAGGTCGTCCTCTGAAAGGACTTCAGTTACGGATCTGAGGGGAGCAGAACCCTGCACAAGTGCGAGCTCACTATGGGGAGGGCCAAAGCCAACACAGTGACCTGGGGCTTCAGAGGCTCCCAGGGAGGGGCTGCTGTCTGGGCGCCCTGGGGGAGAAGACCAGACCTGCTTTGCGATCTGTCACCAGGGCCCAGTGGTCTCTTGGGATCTCGAGAGTCTTTCGGTGGCTTCTCTCATGTTGGTCCACAGGAGCAGCGCTCGGTGGGGTGTGTGACCACTGCTCCATCTTCTCGTGAGAGCAGGAGACGGTCTCCCGAGGGACTGACTTGCTTAGTGTCCCCTTACTCCGAGGGCGTGGTCGGGACTTCATTCTCAAGTTTCTTTCTGTTTGGATGTCTGCTTCCTTTCCCCCGGGAAGTCCCCCTTCCTCCGGGTCAGCAGAGAGGACGTGGCGCGAGGTCCAGCCCAGCGGAAGACGAGGCCGCTGGGCTGACTGTTGTGACAGACTCGCCTGTGTTCCCAGAGAGGAGCCGTGTCTGCAGGGCCGGGCTCAGCTGTGTGCCCGTGGCCCCGGGCACTGCATGCTGGGCTCAGAGGTCTAAGGGGCCTCCGCTGGCTGTCCCAGTGCACCGCCCCACTTGCCCCTGCTGTGGGTGTCGGGGAGCCCAGGCGGGACCCACCAAGTGCTGGTTCCCCAGGAGACAGAAGCAGCCCGGACAGCGCTCTGACCCTCAGGGCCATCTGCCCCGCATCGCCCTTGTCAGGACCACAGCCCAGGGCACACCATGCTGAAGACAGCCGCACAGCCTCTGCCTCTGCCCACAGGCCCCTGCTGCATGCCAGGCTCGCTACAGCATCTGGGCGTGTGGAGAGCAGAACCTGTCCCTGTGTGAGGACAGCGGCCCTGGCACGTGTGGCAGGCTCAGCCCCAGCACACCTGACTCCAGCCAGCGGCCCTGTTCTCAGGAGCCCTCTGCACTCTTGCCAGTGCTGGCCCGTGCCCTGTTCCACATCTGCTGCCCCCCTCCCTGGCCTGCCGCCTGTGCTGTCCTCACCACAGCCCGCGCACACTGGCTCGTGCCAGGAGGGCTGTCTCCCAGACCAGGACTTCTCAGCTTAGCTCACCATCCCCGGGGGGGCACATCATGGGCAGCCAGGTAGGGGCTGTGAGCAGGCAGGTGAGGCCATGCGCTGGGGACATGGGCATGTGTGGGTATGAGGCCTCATGACAGCCATCCCTGTGCAGAGGACAGTCCCCGTGACCACACCCGCTTTCCCCCGGGAGAACCTAGGCAGGTGCCAGCCAGCCAGACGCGAAGGCGCACAGTCATGCTTCAAACCTGCCCCCTCACTGGGCCAACCACGATCTGCGTGGTACTTCTTGTCTATCTGGCAGCCCCTGCTGGCGTCCGTCCGCATGTCTCCAGTGGTGCGGAGCCCTCAGTTGTGCTCAGGTCCCAGGGCAGCCTGGCCCCTACCCCAAATCTTGGGCCGTAGCCACTGCTCTCAGTGGAATGTGGATGGTGCAGGAGGCACTTCCCTGCCAGGTCCAGGCCCAGCTCTGCTCCCAGGCGTGAAGGGGTCCTCTTTCTGGGCTGTCTGGTGTGCCCCAAGAAATAAGCGTGGAGTGTGGCTTGTACCCGAAGGCTGATGTCCTGGGTGCAAGGCCTTCCTAGGCAGCGGGGCGGGGCCCGCCACGGCCCTCCTTCCCCCTGTCCTGCCCTCCACGCCCTGGCCCACCGGGTTGCAGAACAGCTGGGTGGAGACATCAGGAAAGCCGTTTGCTTTTTCTTTCCTTTTTCCTTTTTTTTTTTAATAGACCATAGATTAGTTTACTTTTAACACCCATCATGCCATGAATTCATAGGGAATAGGTTCCAGCAACTCAGGCTCCTTTCCATTGGTTCTCACACAGTGGCTCCTCTGGGTGGAGCAGCTGGCACTTCATTTGAACCCAGGTCCCTTTCCCTTGGGCTTCCTTCTTTTTCTGGTCATTTTCCTTCACACGTTTACGTTTTAGGAAGCTCTCTCTGCTCTTAGAATGCTTCATATGGTCAATACGCACATGAATCCTTTTGGCATGAATCTTGCCCTTAACTTGTTTGTTCACAACAATGCCAGCATCGTGCTGGGTAACACTGAAGACTCCAGTTTTGCCATGGTCACATTTGTGGGGCGATCCTTTTTTTGGGGGGGGAGGGATTTTTACTATAGGGTGTGTGCGCTCGCCAGAAAGACAGACAGACAGAAAGTGAGAAATCACCCCCCAGAGGGGATGGCCACGCCGCAATCCCTTCTCCTCCATTCCCTCAGGATCTTGGGCACGCACGCACATGTGCCCGGCGTGAGTTTAAGCCACTGGGTCCGGGACGTGAACTGCAGTCAACTACATGGGAGTCCAGCGACATAGCCATTACGCCAACTGCTGGTCCCGCCATTTGCTTTTTCATTCTTTGAACTCAGGGGGCCTGTGCTTTTGGGACGCGGTGCACTACTTTCTTCCCCATTAGACTTTGGGCCATTGGGGCAGCAGAGCTGCTTTTGGGGTATGGTTTCTTGGCTTAGGGTGTCAGTTTGTATCAGCTCTGGACTTTGAACTCCCCAAACTGTGCCTCAGGCCTCGGTACCACTGAGCATGGGCATGCAGCCGAGGTCTTATACGCAGACACCTTTCACAACAGCCCTTGCCCACGGGGTCCGATGGCATTTTGCTGGCGGCTTCTGGTGCCGTTCACAACGCCGGCTCATCAGTGTCCAGTTGTCCCTGCCAGCTGTCCCTTGTATCAGCGGTCCCCTGCTGTGCAGGAAGCCACGTGAGTGGGTCGTTGGGGCCTGGTTCCCAGCGCCGCTGTCTGGGAACAGCGAGTGGGCCCCGCTCACCTGGCTTGGGCTGTCTGTCCCCGCTGGCTCACCGTAGGGCAGTCTCCTCGGGGCTCTGACGTGCACTTGGGCTGCCCTGGCAAGCCGCAATCTTCCAGCCGGGGCGCCTCGTTCCCCCCACTTGTCTCGTGTCACTTTGACGGCTCTGCGCACTCCCGTAGGCCAGCAGGCCTTCGTCCCTGAGCGGGCCACCCTTGGTCGAGGACAATCCCTGCTTTGTCCCAGTCCTGCCCTTGCAGGACCCCACACTCGAGGGCGGCCCTTGAGGCACCAGCACAGGGTGAGCGCCCGTCTGCGGCGCTGGGTACTGGCTGGCTGCACAGTAGTCACGGCATTTCCCTGTGTGGTGCTGGCGTCCCCCCACCCTGCCACTGGGTTAGTGAGGAGCTCTCCCACAGACGCGCTCCCTGGCGGAGCCTCCCTGTCTTTGCCTGTGCCCCGTCCCACGGCACTGCGTTTGGGGGGGGCGCAGAGCCACAGTGTAGGCTGGGGAGACCTGGTCCCTACTGGCTGGCCTTCGGCCGGCTGCGTGGAAAGCACAACCCGGCCATCCCTCCCTTGGGTGTGAGGTGGGCACACAGGGCTGGCAGTCTGTCCTCGTCGTGTGTGGGTACACCTGGCCGAGCCGACTCTGCTCTCGGTGGCCTGTGTCTGCGCCCTCGAGGGAGGGTCACACACCACCTCGTGGAGAGGTCCCCATGCCCATCGCAGGTGCCGTTTTGCCTATAGCGTGGCCTTCCTGAAGTGCAGCATGTCTCGACTCCTCGACACACCCAGCCCCAGAGGTTTGGGGAAGGATCTAGACTGCAGGGTCGCTCTCGTGTCTTCCGGCAAGGAGCCCAGGACCCACAGCTGGCCCAGGCAGCCCTGCTGGGTCGGCTCGGCCTGCACCCATTGGCTTGCTCAACCTCTGTGGCCGCTCCCACTGGTGACAGGCATCTGTTGGGTGCAGATAGCTTTTCTTGTTATGTAACATACGTTCTTTTTTTTTAAAAGAAAACCTGCCTAGAGAAGGAAGCGGCCCCACCTGTGTCTTTGCCCAGAGGAGGCTGTGGGGGCACCTCCGTGAGGTGTAAGACAGCCCAGCAGGAGTGGCGCCTGCAGGCCCCTGCGAGGGCCGCCCTTCGGTCCAGCTGGGTCCTGTGCAGCAGGTGCTCCGGGGAGCCGCAGCCCCACCAC